TTCCAACAGAAAATTGTCAAAATATACCCAAAAGTGTTGTTTCCCTATATAAACTATGGTAAACTTTACCCCCTTCCCAAGGGAGAACGGATAGCTTGGGGGTCCTGAAATTTAAAATTTATTTAAAGCCCCTGAAGATGTTTCAATCCATGCAGAGAAAATGATTGTAATACCTCCGAGTCTGGAGAAGAAGATTTTTGAAATATTGGTTAATTTTCCCTTTTGGGCCCTGCCCTGGCCCCTAGGGTTGGGGTAGTAATCCCAATTTTACAATTTGGTAGCCTCATCTACCAAGGATGATTCTGACCAAGTTTGAAAAAATTCCATCCACTGGTTCTTGAGAAGAAGTTGATAGTGTAAAAAGTTTACGCACGACGGACGACGACGGACGGAAAGTGATTGGAATAGGTCACTTGAGCAAAGCTCAGGTGACCTAAAAAGGAATAACGGAGGTTAAACACCGTTAAGAAGGTCCTGGTCCTGGTACACTTGAGATTTTCTTCGGACATCACAGTTGCTGATTTTACCTAGGAGTCTTTTGTGTAAAACCTTGTCAAATGATTATGGTAGGTCAAAAAAGATTGCGTCCACCTGTTCACCCTTGTCTCGACACCTAGCGATGTTTTTTTATGGTTAAGACAAGTTGGCTCTCTCGTGACTACTTTTTCCTGAAACCAGTTGTAGTCGGATATGATGCTGTGACGTTCCTGTGAAAACCTCAACAAACAACCAATACACATGCCTAAAACTTCAATCCTAATAATTCCAGACCCAATTTCCATGAACACTAAGCAGGCAAGAACGTCAGAACACGCTCAAGATGCTCACCATGAGACCTCACTAGTCAAAGGATTAATACGGGTCACGATGGAGTTCTGGTCTGGCTTCTAAAGGTGTGTGCCCATACAAGTTATCCATGCTAACCATGGTTTTCCAAACATCCATCAACACTGGAGCTGTCACCAGTGACTGGGAGAAATCCCACTTTACCCCTTTATGTTAGATACACAAGGTCAAGGTATTTGACTGACGACCAATGGTATTCAAAGGAAACTGCCCACTGCAGGTATTTTCTAGCGAGTTAAGGCAGCCTGATATATTCCCTTTGCAATGTTACTTTTCTTCAAGAGATTGTTGTATCATTTCTAATAACATCAACATGGTAAAATACACAGTACATACACAACATTCGCAAATCAAAATTCACCTTCAAGCAGGTGATAGAAATATATTCACCTTTAACAGGATGTTGGCTTAATAACTAAGCAGGTCTGAAGTAGAATCTTCATATCAACTGATGAAAATACAATTGCAAAATATCAGAGAACTTGAATGTGAATTTTGATTTGCGAATGAGACACAACTCAGGGGTGTATTTACTGTGTATTTTACCATGCATTCCCGGTCTGGTGAAATAAAAAGTAACACCAACTTTAATCGTTTCCAGATGATTTTAATAAGCTTTTGGATACTAAGCAAGACAAAGACTATTGGTAGACACGATTTTCTTGTTGACGTTATACATCACACTGCTTAATGGTACTCCACAGGTACTACTCTATAGCAAAGAACTTGTACAAAACCTCTGGAGTTTTTACGATAAAGACTGCATTTCTACAAAACAGTAGTGTAAGATACTGTCTGTTAAGGTGTTCTATGCAATGGATCAATTGAACTTATCAAACAGTGACTTGTAGGAATTTCCTGATTTCTAATGTCGAAATTGGAGACGAAAAATGGGAGTAGGGCATCCAATATCAGGGGACCTGGCAAGTATTCAATAGAACAGATAGTAACCACCAATATTTGTACATCTAAGTACACAACATGATCGCTTATATTTGTACAATATCCACCGATATTCATTCAGCTAACAACTGCACAAATAGTAACCGCAATCATTTGTACACTAACCATCAATATCAATACAGCGATCAATCTTACTGAGAACTGTTTTTCAAGCGAAAACGTTGAGGAAAGCAGTTTAGAGTTTCATGTTTAAATATAGAGACCTTTTGGTTTATTCAGCCAAAAAATGGTTGTCAGGCTTGAAGGTATAGTGCAACATTATCTTTGTTATTGTAACTGTTCTTAAATAATTCTATAATTACGTTCGGTGTCTCTATAACTTTAGAGGCATTGTCCGAATTTTGACTTCACAACGGAAACTATAAAATGACATCACATCTAGTTGGTGTAACAGCTGAGCAGACAAACACAGCAGCATAGACTTAAGCTATATGTACTCCACTAAAGACTGAGAATATAGGGATATTATTACTGTTGAAGATAACATGAACAATAACTGCAGCGTGCAAATGACTCAAATTTGTCAGCTATTCCTCAATAAAATACTTTTTATCAATCAATATTAAGCAAGTTGGTGATAACTATTTCTCAACTTTTGTACAACATATCTATTAATGTTATGTATTGAAACTGTGAGCTCCTTATTTCATGGAGTCAAAATATGTCCGTATTGATGATATCTATCCCATTACCAGGGTAATATGAAACAACATTTCAACCACCATGAAATAGTTTAAATCCTTAACCCATATAAAGCATGCTAGATCAGCATCATCTGTGTAGGAAATCACATTTATTGCACTAATAAATATATAATGTAGATATTCGTGTTTGCTAAATCTTACAAACATAAATGTTATACTACAACATAGCTACAACTCCTTGCTGTCACACTTCAGCTCCGTCATCAGTAATACATCATTGTACACACCTTTCAGTAATAGATTAGTCAAGATTGAATCCTTTCGAAATTGTCATACAAATGAACATTTTTTAGCATGCTTTTCTTTAAATATGTATAAATAAAGCAGAAAATAGTGTTTAATTTGTAGCACTTACTAATACCAACACTTTGACAGTATGTGTTAGCACTCACAGCATACCATGTACAACGAAAACATAGACAAGTGTTGGCACCGAGAAACATAAGCACACACAAACATTTTTTGGAATATTAGATAAGTTTGGATTCCTTTTATAATCAGCATCCCAATATTTTGTATTTAAAGTACCATTTTTTCCATTTCATCCTGATTTGATTTTACAAACAATCTCTAATTAGTTTAAGAAAAACATTTATGATTGTGAGGTTCAGCAAATATTAAGGGGTTAGAATCAGCTCATGAATTTGCCATGTATTTGCCGTAAATTGTCGGGCTGTACGTTGACGGGAATGAGGTCACCAGTGCCAGGCTTGGTCGGCACGCTTATCCTTCCCATACACACGCTCTCCGCACTCTTTTCATGCAGCATCTGAAATAAAATAAGGACATCAACATCACACTACTGACACTGATTAGTTAGGAAAGTTTACACACAAGGTCAAAATCTTAAATTCAAACGTACCTGAATAAACTGAATTGAGGGGAAAGTTATGTCCTTATTTAACAGAATTAACTGAGGCGTGAGAAAGTAGTAGTTACTTGGGAAAACTAACTTGTGGGGAAAGGGAAGAGGTTGTTACTAACCCAGGCAAACTGAGGCATTGGTAAAGTGAGGAACTTGTTACTTACCCGGGCAAACTGAGGCGTTGGGAAGGTAGAGAAGTCCGTTCTGACCTGACCTCCTGTCCTGTTGGCTGCCAACAAGGTTGTGACCTGGACCTGGAGCTATAAAATGAAAGTAAAATCATTAATGGTAACAATCCCTGCCCTTATTATTGTACATTTTGGTTGTTACATATGATTGCTAGGAAAATATAATTGATTTGATGAGAGTAGAAATATTACCTCCTGTGTTTTCTTCTCAAGTAGCGTAAGTTTGGCTGTCTTGGCGACCAACTCTCTGGCTGGGTTACTGCTATCCGACACAGGTTGAACACCTGGAAAAGAAACAAGGCGTAGTATTGATAATGATAATTTATATACTACATACAAATAGCTGTAAAAACAAGAGCAGTAAACATAAAATCTGCCACATGGGGTAGGATTCACAAAGGATGACACCATGGGAAATGGTGTTTCTTCAGTCTGCAACATTTCAAGTATCATTTTTGTGAATCTCTTCCTGTATTTAGCACCATTTGAAGCACCTAACAACATATCTTAATGTAAAAAGAATTTACAATAAATCAAAAGGCCCATATCATAACCTAATGAATCAGATTAGCTGTTACCAAGACAACTGTTTCATTGCATTGACAAGTGGTGACTTATCAAGCAGCTTGATTTCCCTATGGAATATATTCATAGGCTGTGGTCAAACAGCAAAAACAATATCTGATCAAGTTTGGTATTTTCCAAAATGACAATTTTATAATATATCAACCACATAGTCTACAAGTTATAGAAGAATAAATATTAACATTACCTGGCTTTCTCTTTGTTATATCAACGACTCTGGGACAAGCTGACAACATGTTGACTTCCGTGAGAAGTTTGGATGTCTCCTTGGCCAGATTACCAATCCCAAGTTTGTCTGATGTGCCGTCGGGGAGTTGACCAATCTTGACAGAGCCATCAGTGCTACTAAGACCTACTGGCTTCTTAGGCACCTGTAGTGGAGGCAGTTTGGCCATCTTCTCCTATAAACAAAGGTCACCATAGTAATGTGTGAGTTACAGAGGTCATTTCTCCTGTAAACAAAGGTTACCATAGTAATGTGTAAGTTACTGAGGTCATCTTCTCCTATAAACAAAGGTTACCATAGTAATGTGTAAGTTACTGAGGTCATCTTCTCCTATAAACAAAGGTTACCATAGTAATGTGTAAGTTACTGAGGTCATCTTCTCCTATAAACAAAGGTTACCATAGTAATGTGTAAGTTACTGAGGTCATCTTCTCCTATAAACAAAGGTTACCATAGTAATGTGTAAGTTACTGAGGTCATCTTCTCCTATAAACAAAGGTTACCATAGTAATGTGTAAGTTACTGAGGTCATCTTCTCCTATAAACAAAGGTTACCATAGTAATGTGTAAGTTACTGAGGTCATCTTCTCCTATAAACAAAGGTTACCATAGTAATGTGTAAGTTACTGAGGTCATCTTCTCCTATAAACAAAGGTTACCATAGTAATGTGTAAGTTACTGAGGTCATCTTCTCCTATAAACAAAGGTTACCATAGTAATGTGTAAGTTACTGAGGTCATCTTCTCCTATAAACAAAGGTTACCATAGTAATGTGTAAGTTACTGAGGTCATCTTCTCCTATAAACAAAGGTTACCATAGTAATGTGTAAGTTACTGAGGTCATCTTCTCCTATAAACAAAGGTTACCATAGTAATGTGTAAGTTACTGAGGTCATCTTCTCCTATAAACAAAGGTTACCATAGTAATGTGTAAGTTACTGAGGTCATCTTCTCCTATAAACAAAGGTTACCATAGTAATGTGTAAGTTACTGAGGTCATCTTCTCCTATAAACAAAGGTTACCATAGTAATGTGTAAGTTACTGAGGTCATCTTCTCCTATAAACAAAGGTTACCATAGTAATGTGTAAGTTACTGAGGTCATCTTCTCCTATAAACAAAGGTTACCATAGTAATGTGTAAGTTACTGAGGTCATCTTCTCCTATAAACAAAGGTTACCATAGTAATGTGTAAGTTACTGAGGTCATCTTCTCCTATAAACAAAGGTTACCATAGTAATGTGTAAGTTACTGAGGTCATCTTCTCCTATAAACAAAGGTTACCATAGTAATGTGTAAGTTACTGAGGTCATCTTCTCCTATAAACAAAGGTTACCATAGTAATGTGTAAGTTACTGAGGTCATCTTCTCCTATAAACAAAGGTTACCATAGTAATGTGTAAGTTACTGAGGTCATCTTCTCCTATAAACAAAGGTTACCATAGTAATGTGTAAGTTACTGAGGTCATCTTCTCCTATAAACAAAGGTTACCATAGTAATGTGTAAGTTACTGAGGTCATCTTCTCCTATAAACAAAGGTTACCATAGTAATGTGTAAGTTACTGAGGTCATCTTCTCCTATAAACAAAGGTTACCATAGTAATGTGTAAGTTACTGAGGTCATCTTCTCCTATAAACAAAGGTTACCATAGTAATGTGTAAGTTACTGAGGTCATCTTCTCCTATAAACAAAGGTTACCATAGTAATGTGTAAGTTACTGAGGTCATCTTCTCCTATAAACAAAGGTTACCATAGTAATGTGTAAGTTACTGAGGTCATCTTCTCCTATAAACAAAGGTTACCATAGTAATGTGTAAGTTACTGAGGTCATCTTCTCCTATAAACAAAGGTTACCATAGTAATGTGTAAGTTACTGAGGTCATCTTCTCCTATAAACAAAGGTTACCATAGTAATGTGTAAGTTACTGAGGTCATCTTCTCCTATAAACAAAGGTTACCATAGTAATGTGTAAGTTACTGAGGTCATCTTCTCCTATAAACAAAGGTTACCATAGTAATGTGTAAGTTACTGAGGTCATCTTCTCCTATAAACAAAGGTTACCATAGTAATGTGTAAGTTACTGAGGTCATCTTCTCCTATAAACAAAAGTTACCATAGTAGTGTGTAAGTTACTGAGGTCATCTTCTCCTGTAAACAAAAGTGACCATAGTAATGTGTAAGTTACTGAAGTCATCTTCTCCTGTAAACAAAGGTTACCATAGTAATGTGTAAGTTACTGAAGTCATCTTCTCCTGTAAACAAAGGTTACCATAGAAATGTGTAAGTTACTGAGGTCATCTTCTCCTGTAAACAAAAGAGACCATAGAAATGTGTAAGTTACTGAGGTCATCTTCTCCTGTAAACAAAAGTTACCATAGTAATGTGTAAGTTACAGAGGTCATCTTCTCCTGTAAACAAAAGTTACAATAGTAATGTGTGAGTTACAGAGGCCATCTTCTCCTATAAACAAAAGTTACCATAGTAATGTGTGAGTTACAGAGGTCATCTTCTCCTGTAAACAAAGGTTACCATAGTAATGTGTAAGTAACGCAGGTTAATTTCACACTCTCTTGCTTCAGGACATATTACATTTATATTATTTTTCATTATTTCTTTTTCAAATGTCAGCAGTTACTTGAATGTCACTATATATTAGCTAATGATAATTGGGAATCCAAGCAAATGGTAAATTTTAATTCAGGTTTAAATTGTAAGTAGATTGGGACTCAATATGTGTAATAATTATCTGTTTCAGCCAAAATATATTTTACCACAAATATGTATCATAATTTTTGACTTGTGAGATAAATTTGAGAAAAATCTGTTGTTAGGAGTAGACTACAAACAGAACGATTACCTTCATCCTGTCAGCTTGTAGGCGACGGTTATCTTGTTTGGTGAAGTTCAGGGCCTCCTTCAGGGAACTTATCTGTGGACAAAACAAACGATTCACTGGTTGAGATACAAACATGGGGAAAGTAGCATTACTGATCATAGGTACATACAAGGTCTAGATAAGACCATCATTGAATTCAGTACTTTCTGAAGCAACATCTGTCCAATAATCAGAATCTACAGGTTTAGATTTGGTACAATAGGTCTGTAAATGATTTTAATGCAAAACATTTGTGAAAATCTAACATTTTTACCAAAGAGAAATTTGATTGATTTACTGTACTTTATGATTTCTTTTCAAAAGCAGAAGTGAGCCGGCATGGCAACTAAATTAACCTGTTAAAATTCTAAGATCCCATCAAGAGTTTATTTTGTCAAGTATTGTGTCATAGAATGGTCATTCCTGAGTGATTTCTGGGTATCTATCACATACTTTCTCCATCCCAAGGAAAGTTTCCTGACTACGTCATTGGTCAGACTCAGTCTACTTGTGGTAAACAAGCGATAGTGTAACCATGTAACACACTGTATCTGTGGTACCACACTGTATCTGTGGTACCACACTGCATCCTTGGTATACACCTACCTGTTGTAACAGGACAGGGGAGTCATTTACAGTTGTTAAGGAGGAGAGACTCGGACTGCTTCCAACTGTCAAAGAAAACCAGAAATGTATATCAAAGATACAGATTGTCTGCTTTCTGCGACAATGAATTAGTACTCAGTGGCTGTGCAATACAGGGAGTTTAAAGAAGATACTGTGAGGTCATTTAATTTCTTGGGGGATTTATTTCTGATGATTTTTAGAGTAGCTTAATTTCAAAATGATTGTGTTCCACTAAATTTCATGACCTGTATAATAATTGGAGGTGAAGGTGAAGGTGGGATTGAGTCAGTCAACTGTGGTTCGACCGGTTTGACTGTTTAGAGCCCAGGGGTGATACAGCTATAAAATGAAACAGCTGTATCATATTCATATCATAGGCTTACTGTAAAGGTGTTTTGAGGGGGTATCATAAATGGGATATGATGTACATTAAGGGGGTATCAAGAGACATACATAAAGCCTGTCAAGAGAAGTAAGGTTCCACTATAAACAATATTCAAACATCTCTCTAAATCTGGATGATGATATTTGTTCATGTTAATAATTTTATAGAGTTTTAATAAAATGATAATATGTAAACAGAGAGAGAAAATTGTATATGATCATAATACAATAATTACAACAAAATCAATAATAAGCATGCAGGATCTAAAACACTAATCTTGACTTATTTAAACATCAATTAATCAATTAAAACATCAATTAATCAATTAAAACATCATTAAGTTATCTTTGCAGTATGGCACATTTCAATACAATTATGTGTTTTTCTGTCATCAAATCTTTTGTAAAGTTGATATACACTGTGACATCGATCAATAATATAACGTTGATACAAGAATCAGTAAATATCTAGGCCTACTGTACACACCAACACTGAGAGTCTTAGTGGTACAGTGGACAGGTGTGCCACAGAGCAGAGCATGTTGACGTGATGTGCAATTATATAGTTTCGTAATGAAAATCATAAAATCATGCATTGACGAAATGTATATATGAAATATCAGCTGGAAAGCTGCAAGGGAAAGCAAGGATTATAAATAAGTTATGGTTAAATTAATAATTGTTACAAAGCAATTGCCTCAAATTATGTCTTTATATAAATACTTCTTAAACACATACTAGCAAACGGCTTAAATGGCATGTATCACATGTATACCTGTTCTTGAATGTTTTACAGAGCCACACAGGGCTTAGTCAATATTTAGTCAGCACTTTTGAGCTATATCTATGACAGAATTATGTCTACAAAGTTTTGATAACTAGAAAAGTTAATATTATGTCTTAGCTACTATTTGGGCTGCCCTCCTCAACCAATTATTTTTCTCAAAGCCTACCATCCCCCTTTAATACCCGTACTGATGATCTGGATCCCTTTTCTCCAGCGCCAGATGGCCATACCATTCATCTAAATAAAATTGAATTCCCTTGACCTAGGAATGCTTCATATCAAAATTAGTTAAAATACCTCATATTTTCATTTAAGGATACATCTGAGATAATACACCTTTCTCACATTAAACTAATTCACTATTGAAATCATAACTTTATGTCTGAAGCCATAAAACCATTTGGTGGGAATCTAATTTTTTCTAAAGTTCATTCAAAGATAATAAGTTTCTGATAATACATAAATTGAGGTGAAAGCATGAAGTTACTTGGGAAATATCTTTCTGTAGTTGTTCTGGACCACTAGATCTTTCAAAGGAAACGTTGAAAAGACAGACTGACAACAACTTCCAGGCCACAGCATACCCCGGTAAGCTTCAAACCAGGTGAGCTTATCAGAAATATTTTGTTGAAAAACATTTTCCAGCTCAGTTCTGAAAACTTGATCACAGCAATTTATACGGATAAGTCTGTAACACCTGAGGCTTTGGAGGTATGGAACAAAGATGAAGGCTGGGAATGGGCACCATATTCATTAAGTTACATCGCAACAATGCATTGCAAAATAATTTCTTTTTCCCCATGAATGTGTTTTATGTTATACAGATCAGTTGTGCTGAAAGCAACCATAAAGTGCAAATTAAATTGTCCATAGGCATAAAACAAGTTATAAGTCTCTGATTACACCAAGAACAGCAGGAATTCATCATGTTTGTGGAGGTCAATTTTGTTACACTTGTAAATCTGTCTTGATACTTTTAATGACACAAGTTCCATTACTAATATGGAATGTAACTTTTAACTCATTCACAAGATATAAAACAAATGCTTCATAATTGTATTTAAACTTATCATGTTTTTTGTTTCGTTTCCTGATAACTCTCCATCCATTTCGACATTTATTCCTGCTCTTACTGAAGTAACTTGCATAACAACTTTCACAAACTGTCAGAATACTTAACTTTTATGTACTGAAAATCAGTTTTAGTTTTTGACATATTAAATCTCATGTAAACTGGTGAAGAAGATCAATCTCCAAATTTAATATCTTGTGGAAAAATCATATCAATGGTATATATCATTCAATTTCTGAATTCAAATATTTGTGAATTTGTGTTTTGAAAAAAAGTGCTATTTTGAAGCACCTTGAAAATGACTTACAGTCAGCTGATACATATAAATGGTTTAAAATAGACTGGTATATATAATTATGAAGTAATTTAAGTCAATTTTGGTATAACAATGAAGGATATTGGGTGGCAAAGAACTGCTGATGAGTAATGGTAATCAACACAGTTTATTCCACTGATTCAGAAATGGTATACATAACTCTGACAGATTGTGAAAAACTAGCATACACTAAGACTGAGCCAAATTACTCTATCTTGGTTAGGTTTAACAGTGTTATTATAAAAGTTGAACAAAAATATACATGTATATATATTTCTGATCATGTTTTCTATCCATTCCATCCAACATCTTTGAAGACGAGCTATGAAAACTTCGATAGAATCCTACTGAAACAGTGTTAAACTACACCAGATAAAGTTGGCTAGAACCTGTGACTGATACTTCAGTATTATAGTGTATTAGCAAACAACCCCAAAACCCAAGCCAGCACTGTTAGCAGACACACGAGACCGACACCGCTCCCTCTCCTCACCAGTCTGGCCCGCCTGCCGTGATATGCCCTCCAGTAACGTTTTCTTTGACAGTATCTTCAGTCTCTCCTTCAGTTCTAACTTCTCCTGTTCGAGAGTATCAATGTCCGACTGCAATGTATCCATAGTTTCCTCAAACTCCCTAAAAACGACAAAATTTTACAACAAAAATGAAACGAAAGATGAACAGAAAAAGAAAACAAACTAAACACATACACACAAACGTGTTAGTGTATTACCAGTTTGGAAGTGTACAAGTCTGGTTTTCTCCATTTCCAACACATCAATGTCAGACTGGAGCACATCCATGGTTTCCTCAAACTCCCTACAACAGACACATCGCTTTATACATACTTTCACACTGGCTGCTTATATTAATACCAAGCATATTTATTAAGTTATTCAGACCTTTTTGATAAAAAATAGGAAGACAAGACGCGTTAAGTCACACAAGATATTTTGGTAGTTAGGTGTCATGCACTGCTGCTACTGTGAAACCTCGTTCAATCCACACTAGGATAACACATAAAACTGTCTTTAAGATGTTATAAAACTGGAACTAGATAACCTCTTTGGAACATTTCCTGTGATTTGAACTGATGTACCTAACTTGTGGTGGATATAGAGCCACCAATTACTGGTCTCAGGTTTCATAGTTATGTGAGAGGACAATAAGATAACAGTCCGGAACGATTTTACATTCTGTCTTTTATAATTTGTTTTCATTACTACAATGTTACGAAAAAATGTGCATAAAAGGTATTAGTTCTCTGACAGTATGTTGGGGGTCCCAGCAGTTATCATAGTGTTACTGTGGCTGTGCCTGTCTAAACTGGGGGTCCCAGCAGTTATCATAGTCTTACTGTGGCTGTGCTTGTCTAAACTGGGGGTCCCAGCAGTTATCATAGTCTTACTGTGGCTGTGCTTGTCTAAACTGGGGGTCCCAGCAGTTATCATAGTGTTACTGTGGCTGTGCCTGTCTAAACTGGGGGTCCCAGCAGTTATCATAGTGTTACTGTGGCTGTGCCTGTCTAAACTGGGGGTCCCAGCAGTTATCATAGTGTTACTGTGGCTGTGCCTGTCTAAACTGGGGGTCCCAGCAGTTATCATAGTGTTACTGTGGCTGTGCCTGTCTAAACTGGGGGTCCCAGCAGTTATCATAGTGTTACTGTGGCTGTGCCTGTCTAAACTGGGGGTCCCAGCAGTTATCATAGTGTTACTGTGGCTGTGCCTGTCTAAACTGGGGGTCCCAGCAGTTATCATAGTGTTACTGTGGCTGTGCCTGTCTAAACTGGGGGTCCCAGCAGTTATCATAGTGTTACTGTGGCTGTGCCTGTCTAAACTGGGGGTCCCAGCAGTTATCATAGTGTTACTGTGGCTGTGCCTGTCTAAACTGGGGGTCCCAGCAGTTATCATAGTGTTACTGTGGCTGTGCCTGTCTAAACTGGGGGTCCCAGCAGTTATCATAGTGTTACTGTGGCTGTGCCTGTCTAAACTGGGGGTCCCAGCAGTTATCATAGTCTTACTGTGGCTGTGCCTGTCTAAACTGGGGGTCCCAGCAGTTATCATAGTCTTACTGTGGCTGTGCCTGTCTAAACTCTTTATCAAGATTTATTCCTCTGATAACATGAATTCTGTATGTTGATACAGGTAATGTGTTGGATATTCCCTGAACAATATACATGTTCAATCATTTAACATCACTAACATGTCAAAAAGTGTAAACGGAGGAATATTATACATGTTCAATCATTTAGCATCAATAACATGTCAAAAAGGGTTAACGGAGGAATATTATACATGTTCAATCATTTAGCATCACTAACAGTGTTAACGGATGACAAAATTCTGGTCAGTTGTTTTTTCATACTTTGCTGTATTCATGTCAGGTGGCAATTTTGTGCTGCTGTTCACAGTAACGGCTGCATTTGATCAGGATATGGAATTCCTTTAATTACATCTTTTACACATCTTTAAAAGTTTCTTGATTCAATATTTAGAAACATGTGTTAGATTATTGAGATCACAGGATATTTCATGTGCTGAAAATAGCAAGTTGTGTGCATTCGCATTATGTAAAATCTGTTAATAGATTAAACATCACTTATTAATTGATAAGAACAACACTGTAAAATCAAAAGGTTATTATGTAAAGTAAGATCACACTAGTCTGGGACAATCACAAAACGCTTTCCTTTTTTTTTATATATATTTTATAGTCAGAGCTTGATCTTGGTTTTAGCGGTGTTTTGAAATCACAAAAATATTGCAAAACATCTGAATTTTCTAAATCTACCCACTTTTCCTTTTTCTTCATCTGAAGCTGAATCTCATCAAGCTTGCGTTGCATTTTCTCCACACGTTCGTCGCCATCTTTAGTGGCGTTGTCCAGCTTCTTTTCCACCAGGTTCATCCTCACCTGCTGCTCACTGAACTCCTCTTGCTGCAACAGTGTGTAGATAAGGCAAAATGAAAGTAACAGTGTGAAGATAGGGCAAAATGAAAGTAGAGTACAGAAGGAACGCTTGTATAAGTATGGTAAACAGATAGCAAAGGGTATCAATGTGTAAGTATATTAGGGTAAAATGAAAGAATCAGGCAAAGAAAAGAAATTCTTCCATAGAAAAGGAGACTTGAAAATGGAGGATAAAAAGGGGGATTTGTTTGGAATTTCGATGTATCAGGATGGAAATCGTGCAAGGGGCACACTGACATTTCCATCAAGGCCTCAGACTTTCTACCAAATGAACTATTTAATGACCAATGATTGAGCCAAGTCCCACTACATTGGAAAGCTTAAGGCAAAATGAAGTTGGCAGAAAAAGGAAAATAGTAAAGACCTATGTAAGTTTAGACTATCATCCAGTAAATTCTCTTATGATTTTGTTTTTTTACTTAAACACATTGAGTCTCTGTTTATGTGTATTGATGCTAGACCTATTTAACTCATTCAATCCTGAAGACACATTTGAACTCTTCTAATTCAGGGGTTGGAATAGTTCATTATAAAATTTCAGGTGTGAATGAGTTAACCTTGGACTAGGGACACTGACCTTCATCTTGATGAGTTTCTTGAGTTCTTTGATGTCCTCTTCCTTACTCTCCAGTTTGAATTTCATTGTTTCTATGTCGGCGATCTGAGACTTGACTGTGTTAGCACGAGTCACTACCGGCTCCGGAGGCTGGATAACATCAACAATGTGAGCGTCAATTCAACATCATATAGATATTTGTTGAAATTTATAAAAAGGAGATGAGACATTCATGGTAAATTAAACCAAGAAGGTTGCAAATGAGTCAATAGTTTAACAAGATGTTAATAGTTAAGACTATTCCAGAAACTAAACATTGCTACTATCATATTTATCTTTAGGCTTACAGTACCAAGGATAATAACAATTATAGATCTTCAGCCACCAAATGGCCTGGACATAATCTCAGAGGGACAGAATTGTACACTCTAACAGCCTTTCTACCTTTATTGGTAGGAGACTAATATTACAGTCCATCACCTGTAGTCGAACGATACCAAAATATCTCAGTTGAAGGAAGAACCAATCTAAACCGAAGCATTGGCCAAGACTAGGAGGTTACAGAATTTCACCCTGAGACAAAGATATATCAGGTATTTTATGTTTTATCTTGTAACTCTATGACACAAAAGCTGTAATTAATCATCAACCACTTTTTACTTAAATGCTTGTCACATAAACCAACATGTAATTAAACTGGTTTGTAGTTAAAAACAGCTAAAGACATGATGATATGTAAATAAAGTGATGTAACTTAATATTTCCTGCACACAGGCAAGTTAAAATAGCACCATAGAATGCACAATGGTGCCTTACCAGACAAACTAAACGAGACTGAAAAATCCAGCCCTGGGCTTTGGCTAAGATATTCTTTTCTCTACCCCTTCACAGGTGTGTGTCCCGTTTTAGCCAGGAAAGATCAGCTTGTCACCCTCTAGGGGGAGATAGCCTCATACCGATTAGCACGTGTTCAATTGTGAGGTCATTAAAATGTGTCACCGGTAATTGTGACGTCATCAAAAGTGAATGACAATATTTATACCTCACATGTGTTTTTGTTTACACTACTGTCGGTGGAGTTGTGACTGAAATAAAAAAAAAAGGATGGGAGAAAAATAACCATCCCCTTCCTTAAGGGTGTAACAAAGAAATCTTCAACCCTCGGGGTGATTTTCTTTTGGTTGTCTTACCCTCTGCAAAGCCTCGGGTTAGACAACCAAAAAAACATCACCCATCGGGTTGGAGATTTCTCTGTCACAACCTCAAGGTAGGGGAACATTCTATTAGTCACAGGTTCAAGAATAATAAGTCCTTATTCACTATTACAAATAAGCTGAAATATTTCACCCGTTTTTCTCTTGTTCCATCAAAGTCATACTCTCCATTTTCCATGGCGTTGGCAATCTTGCTCATGGTGCCAACCACTTGACCAAAAGACACCCTGTCAACAACAATAATTGTAATACTGTAACAAATCTATAGCAAATTTACGATAAATTTCATTTAACAATCAAGCTAACATCTTATTCAAATCAGTTTATCTCTATAATGCATTTTTATCAGAATAAAATTATAAAAGATACCATCAAATTTTTGCATCAAACATGCTTGCAAAATCTCCCTTTAAAAAAAAGAAGATGACATTTTTTTAACCTCATGTCTTGACTTTTGAATTGTAATTGGTGGTAGAGTTAAAAAGATATGGTACCTTACACATCACAATTGCGATTTGTGTTCAAGTTAAGAACATATGCTACCTATCACATTATACTTGTGACTTATGTTAATTATATGTGTTAGAGTTATCTCCCTTACAAAACTTTCAATCAGTATTATTTAGTAATTTAGAATAACCAGAATTAGACTTGAATGCAATCTTGTATACCTTTCAAAAATGTGATAATCAACAAGACCAGCAAGTCCAAATTTACAATACTATTTATTGAAGAAATGTTATGAGCTTCTAAGTACATGTACATGTATCAAACCATTTTGTTAAGGAGAAGAATGACACATAAGCAACTATATATATCCTTAAGTCTGAATGTATGTCAATGACCGATTTGCATGACTGCTGTCTACTAATATAACAAAGGGAGGCAAATCTAACTTACTTTGTACAATCGTAGGGTCCAGTGTCCTCCTTGCCGTAGACTTTGTCAGAAGCCTCGTAGGCGATCTCCTCCATTTTCTTTGGCATCAGACCCTCAGCATCTGCAAGCATATAAGTCAGCATCTTAAATACTTACTTCAAACTTTAATTGTCAGAAATATCATTATAGATATATAAATGAAATCTCAAGTTAGAAATATCTACAATATTAGAAACACAAATTTAGATTTATTTATTGTAATTATGTAAATGTACTCTTTTGAATTTTTCTTTGTCTATCAACCAACAAGATATTTTATGTCTCAGAATATATCATTGAATGGACTAAATTATCTTAAAATCCACATGAACTTTCCTTACATGCATTCATAAGTACCTCACTGTGTTATGCAGTTCTATAAGCAGGTAAGCTGGATGATTACATTTGTATGATCATGTCATTTGGATAAAGAATGAAACTTATTCCTCAGTTTTTTATGTATTGTACATTTAAGCCAAAACAATGTATACTTTTTGTATCATATATAAAATCCACCTTTTCTGGAATTTAAAAGTAAAATCAGGTTTATTTATCAATATTTGACTACCAACATTTATTATACGGTATTATTAGTTCACGATTGACAGTGCACTTCAAATTCAGAAGAATATCAATTTAAAAGAAAGCAACAAAATGGTTTAACTCATTTCGTAAGTAAAAGGAAAAAAAAATTACAAACATTGGAATAGCCGACCAATATCAAACAATCTAATGTTAATTTTTTTATCAAACAAAACAAACCGACAGTTAATTTGGAATAGTAACATATTCTCATGATTTTTCAGTAACACACAGCACACACGTAATTAAAAATAACACCAACGATAAATAGAACTCCCAGCAATAAAGTGTGGGTATTTGTAATATATTTCTGCAGTTCCAATACATACAAATGATATATTTTTGTGGTACAAATGTACTTTTATTTAATTATTTACTTGTTTAAATAACTTCAAACATGTGATCAAACTTTGATGCAGTTGTTCAAATTTTCCCTAAAAAAAAGTCGGACAAAAAGTACAAAAAAAATGACCACTTTAGATGTGTAAAAACGTTATTTTAATGTTCTACAAAAGTTCATTGAAAGTCTTATTTAAAATACATTCAGCAACTTTTAAACTATTTGATCTTTGTTTGAATAACTGCACCAGACTTGTTAGAACTGTTATCAACCTTCAGTCACACAGTTTTACCATCAGCTGACTTCCTTGTCCAAGAAAATGATGCAGCGTCTAAAAATAGGGCCATGCATTCATTACCAGTTATTAATCAAAACATAAAAAGTGTATAAAAAATACAGCACCACTGAAGCAGTACACAATGTTAGTTCCACCAAGTTTCAGGGGAGGGGGGTAGTTATTGTAGCATATCCATGTCGCAATCAAATATAATCTCTAGTGAATAAGTTGACCCCTCCTTATAGAAGAAATCAGACTTGAAACGCGAATATATTTAATTCAATGTAAACTCCTCTCTCACTTGCTGTGGTGTCATTTCTCTAATTCTCATGGTACAGTATTGTGCATCTGCATATTCAAAAGGCCAGCACCTTTAACTAGCCACGTAACACGACATAAAGCCATAACGACCTCAAAATGTGTAATGTCGCATAGATTAAGAAATACTCTGATTGTATACTCGATATATGTATGGTCATTTCTCTGAAGGGTTTATTCTGTGATTTTCACCTTACGTGAACTTACATCTCTAAAACATAAATTCAGATGTAATGCAAAGTCCAACACTGAACATTTGTATTTTTTTCGACATTTGTACAAAAGTTACATGTCACAGAATCTAAATTGATAGTTTATAAATCAACAGAAAAAATACTAAACAAACTCTAATGAGGTTTGATGGTCACTCAGTGTAAGAGAAGAATTGACCGCTGTTGAGATGGAGGTGTTCGGGATTGCTATGACAATAACAGCCTGATTCTAATAGTCTGCCTAAATGCACTTTGTGTTCTGAAAGCTAAAGACTACAACAGGGTGACATTGATGCTTTCTAAAAATAAAATCAAAAGTGGAAATAAAGTAAAAAGTACATGTTTTATGAACTAAAATTGTAACTACAATCTCATCAAGCCAGCTGAGTGTGGGAAACATGATGCATCTTTCATTGAAGCATGCAGAACTATCTAAAAATTAAAAAAAAACAGGCAGTAAACATCAAACAATATCTAAAACTGCAAAATAAGCAAAACCATAGCAACAGTTTTGAAACTAAAAACACTTGCAATTTACAGTGAGAACATTTTTTGTCAATATGCTTGTAACAGAAATTTCCAGCGTACAGTCCAGTCAAGTCCAGTACAAGCCTTGGCTGTCTCAGGTAGAGAGGTCAAAGGGTCATGCAATGCTTTAAATCTGAACATCTCAGTGATTAAAAGTCAGTGCAGAAAGTAGGGGTAGGTCAACAGAAAGATGATCTACCCGTACATAATCAATACAGGTACATCTACCATTCTCATCAACATTTTACACAAAACTAGAACGGAGGCAGTGCATTCCTTATCCAAATTCAGAGGATTCCTTAATTATCTACATCTAAAACATCACAAAGTAAAAATGAACTCATTAATTTTTAAAAATTTAATACAATTCATTTCTCTGCTAGCATTGTATGCTTATACCAGGTACAGTTTTTTAAGTTTGATTTTTTTTTTATTGCAACATTGATTGTGACTGTCAGTATTTACATTACTGGTATATGTTAAGTTTTTGTAATATTTGTCAATAATTTATGACTATTCAATAACAAGTGTATATTGTGATGTATCATCAGAATGCCTGCTATATAAGTTTATATGCTTCATATCTTGCTGTCAGGACTGGGCTAACATTACGAGAAAATACCATCATAAGATTAAAAATATTTTACCTCAGAATTTGTACCACAATACATTTGTTCTTATTTAAACCTGCTATTTTCACAGCTTATGGTACACAAACTACGTCAGCTCTATATATATGTTATATAAGTTATTGATGTGCCGAGTAAATGTTAATTTTGGAATAAACTGTTATATTCTGATTAACATAATCATGATTAACATAATCAATTTAACATGTATTTCCTCTAGGTATACACACTTTGATACATGTCCCAAGTCTGTCACAACGACAAAAAAAGTTTAATGAACATACAAGCTGTACATCAGCATTTCAGGACAACTATGTTTTCTCATATAATACTGTTTTTGGCATTATAACAGATATATTACATAAAGTTAAAAAAAAGCATCCCATGAAATTTTGACCCTTTTGTTAATTTCCGTGTACTGTAAGGTAATAGAATCTTCATGTACCAGTAACATCCATGAACTTGTACAATATCTATTTTCAAACAAATTCAAATGTAGTTGAGGACTTCCCATTTTAACTTTTGAGAATGCAAAATTTATTCATACTTTTCAACATAGGAAAAAGCTAAATGATCAATTTGACATTAATGATACATGTACTGTGAAGTTTTCCCAATAACGTATCAACAGTACATATACGTTTATTCAAATTCAACAGCCTAGATATACCTAATTTCCAGTCAAATTAAATTCTGGTTTGCTCAGTCTTTATATGATATTGAAAAACAAAATTTCATTGGCTAGCTATATCTCGAACAATGTCAATAAGAGTATTATGAGACATTAACAGAGAGTCGGTACACTGGAGTAAGTTTCAGTGTACAGTGTACAGGACTAAGTCAAGGCAGAACACAACAGTTTGGACTGACCAAGCTGTGATAGATTACCCTTGCAGTTTTCCAAATCCATTCGCCCACCTACAGTGTCAACAAACAAAATCATCAAACTCAACAAACCGTGGAGGGATAAAATCATCAGGGATTAAAAACATCTTAACGCAAAGAACAAATCAAAATAAACATCAGCACAATATGCAGGGTTTTCTTCATTATTTGAAGAAAAAAATCAAAAAAATCAGATGCATCAGATTTTTTTCCATAATTTAAAGTCAACAGAAAATATTGCATCCACAAATGTTTCAAGTTTTTCTAACACCTCGGGGAGGAGACGATTTCAACGTGGATCACAAAATAGTAAACAGAGTAAGTAGTACTGGTAAGTATTCCTGGGCAAATTTAACACTAGGCAATATTGTTTTAAAAGGCCAGAGGTTAAATTGATGGAACAAAAATATTACTGTTGACATAGCAAGTTGTCTATACTAATATTCCTGATCAAATTGTTGCCACAGAACCGACTAATGTTGATACACCACAAAAGTTTCATGATGTACCCACTGCTAGACCAATGTTACCGTTGACTATGTCTACTTTAGACAAAGACTTTATCACATTAACTCCTGCATATTATCTTGAAAAACATGTCAAATCAAACAGGTAAACAGCTGGATGTGTAAAGCTTAACAGAAATCATCAGAACAGCACACATCAAATGGCACAGATGTAACATAGCATTGGTGTAGAGATTGCTGGCTGTAATTATACAGGTACACAAGTATACAGGTAAAATACAGGTACACAAGTATACAGGTAAAAATACAGGTACACAAGTATACAGGTAAAATACAGGTACACCAGTATACAGGTAAAAATACAGGTACACCAGTATACAGGTAAAATACAGATACACAAGTATACAGGTAAAATTCAGGTACACAAGTATACAGGTAAAATACAGGTACACAAGTATACAGGTAAACCATGACAAAAACTGAACGTGAATGTAACAGATGTTGATTTAAATTATGCAACAACAAAAAATCAGTATGTATACAAGAGATGATAATTGGGTGCTAAAAAATCTAAACAACGACAAAAAAGGTAGGTGATATCCAGTGTCTGTCCTCCCTTTCGAGATTGATTTAACGAGATGTTGCATATATCAATCAGGTGTAGATTGAAAACAATTAGGACGACTAGTGTTGAAACACCCTCTGTATAAAATCAAAACCTATGTTCAGATTTAATTAATTCAATTAATATCTAAAAAAGTTCAGTTTTAATTATTTCAATAAATGTCTTAAATTTCAAAGTTTTAATTATTTCGATTAATGTCTAAACCCCCCTCCTTGATCTCTATGAATCTGTGCTACCTTACATATTTTATATGGGGTTAGTTTAAGGAGTGATCTCCCTTACAAATAACACACTATTATGTGCAGTTGATATGTAGAATATGCCATGGCTCAAACATTTAACTAAATAGAGATAAAACATTCCCTCAAGATCATACACTGATTACCATTTGTACAGGTCATGTTTCCTTCCCATTTACACCTGTTCAACATCTCATTACCAGGTCATTCTTTCAGTATCACCAGCTCCCTAAACCCAAAGCTACATGTGCTGTCAATAACTTGTTAATGATTCCAGGGCTCACACTAAAGTAGGATATCAGGAACAGTAAGAGTTGATGGTTATATTTATCATTTTTATTTTTTAAATGATCTAAAATGCTTCGTTGTGTAGGTCCCATTCTTTTTAGTTTATATATTAGAGTAAAGTATCTAAGGAATGCCATGTTATGATGATAAACTACCTTGTAGGGATTAGGACACACATTATGGAACACATACATGTCACAGTACAATGCTGCTACTGTATGAGGGGAGGGAGGAGATATTGGGTATTGTACATGCAATCTACAGTATTAATAATATAATCTTGTATACATGACAGAAAGTATCTGAACTTACACAACAGCATCACCTTCAGAAAAATCCTTATTTTTCAGCATCATGGCAACTTGGTCTAGTGTGTAATAGTATTGATATACACAACTTTTACTAGAAATACCTACATTGATGCTTGTTTGTCTGTATTTTTACCTACATGGATCTGTGGGTGACGTATGGTTGGAAGCTTGCATATTGGTACTTAAGGTCAGGTCATATGACACATAGAGGTTGTGTAGACACCATTTGAGTTTGTCACCGACTGCTTGACCATGGTGTGTGGCTTACTAAATCTGAGCTCCCTACATAAACTCATGACTCAGATATAAGACATGGAAATCAGTAATGAAGTACTTGAGGTCAGAAGTCAAATAGAGTTGCGGAGACTTAATGTTCGTTTTATGACAAACTGCTTGACCATGATGTACATGAATACCAAGTGCAAACTGTTCAAAGAATTGGTTGGTAATGATATGGTCAAGGTCAGAGGTCTAATAGAGGCTTCATTAACCCAATTTAGGTACCTCAGACACTACTTGACCATGTTGTACATACACATCAAGTTTACTCTCCCTATATCAATTGGCGGGTGAGATACGTCCAAAAAGCCTGTATTTTGGTACTTGAACACATGGTCAAAGGTCAAACAGAGATTGCAGTGACCCCATTTTGGTATGCAACACAACTGATGTAAAAGAAATGTTCCCAAAATATGACATCACAGATGGAGGAAATGAACACTTTCTACCTCCCACCTCAATAGAGCGGGTATAAACATAGGGTACAAATGGGGTATATGTAACGGCATAGTAAGGATAGATATAGGGTATTTTCTAGGGGGTACAATCTAATTCTTTTAGTAGGACTGAGGTGTTGTTAGCATCATCATGCACCCTATTAATGTACCGCCACACAAAACAGAGCTGATAGCAAGTTTACATCCTTGTATGGTCATCAGTGATCATCAAATAGAGTTACAGTAGGGTTATACTGACACTTAAACAATTAAGTGTTATAATTATACAGGAAGTAGTTTCCCCAAGATAGGTCTTATTTGATAAACAGAAATTTCTGAAATTGAATATTCCCATGGATCCTGAGTAAGGCTTTTGTTTGGGATACTTATGGCTATAAAGTCACAGCTAGTTGTAGTGTATGATATTCCGTCTTTCGTATTGCAGAGTTATCTGCTCTTGTGAGCAGGTATTGATTTTTACGTCATTTGTTTGTGAGAGTAACGTCATAATTATTTAAGAAAACGACGTAATTTTCTCACACAAACCAATGATGTAACAATCAATACCTGCTCACAAGAGCAGATAACTCTGCAATACGAAAAGACGGAATAGAACAAGAAGAACACTATTAAACTCAAAGAATTTACATAATGAAGTGCTTAACATAACAGAAAATAAAAAAACTTTGACAATATGAAGAGGTTATAAAAGGTTCAGACAAATAAATTCTGTTTTTGTTTGTTATAATATACATATAGTAGGCGGGGTTCCAATCACAACACAGCTCAGGCGTTACCGGTTAGTGGGTTTTATACTAGTCAGCCAAATAAAACCCACTAACCGGTAACGCCTGAGCTGTGTTGTGATTGGATCCCCGCCTACTATATTTCCATATTCAACACCAATCTCCCTGCATACCTTTTGGTATCCACTCTCGGCTAACTGATCAACCCACCTATACAACCTAACGACGTTGGCTCGACATTTTTTATGTTATTATATACATGTAGGAGGTGTGTCATGCATAGAGGACTATCTATGTAAGGGATGAGGATTAGTTAAACCCCTAAGTGAGTCATGAGATAGCAATCTTTATAAAGAAAATGTCTCGTGTGTTGTTACCATCATGCATTTAATAAAACCATGTACACCCTCCTATACACACGATCCCCAGTACAATGTGTTCAGGTGAGTACACTGTCCCTTACTCAGGAACAAATTATATCTAAGCCAGTTATAAAGCATATTTTAGTGAATATTTGATGAAATGGTCGTGAAACCATGAGATACCTACCAGATATGGTTTCTAATGGAAAACAACACAAATCCAGTCAACATACCATAAAGGGTGTCCAGTCAACTCTTTTTTAGGAGAAACATTTTTTTCAGATACCAGTTTTACAAAAACAAGAAGATACCTGATGTTTGTATCAACTATATAATGTGGTACAGAGAATTAATTTCACAGCAATTTTCCTGAATTTCCAGGAAAGAAGAATCATACACTTTAACCTGTAAGAGTAAGTTTTTGCTGTTATATAAAACTTAACCCTTTCACCACTGTAGACCATAATGGACTCATTCCAATAAATGCATGGTATACGTAGAGTCCACTAAAGTTACCTAGGGGTGAAAGGGTTAAAAACATAAAACTATCAATGAACAAATTATAAGCTATAAACATTACTTTGTCTAAGTAACTACACTGAAATAAGCCCTTGACCAATGAAAAAATCTGTATCTTCACCTTAAAAACAATAACTTACTAAGAAAAATCTGTAAATTTTAAAACACTAATTTAAAATTCTAACAAAATTTTGGAAAAGCAGGATGGAAAATCAACAAGAAGATGTAGTAAAAAAAATTTCTGCTGCCCATTTTAAGAGGGATCTGTTGACAGTGTTTACTTTACACAGCATCTACTTCATGCCATTCTGGTTTAAAGCAAATATTTATAAAATGAAAGTTATGAGGAAATCTGAATAGTAACTCAACAAAATATTGGTAAAACCACACAAGTAAAGATGATTTACACCGATGGTATGAGACAGACTGGAGTTAAGAGACTTGACTTACCGGTGAGAAGGGCGGCCTGCTGCATTGCACCTAAAGCTGTGTGCTGGAGAGTCTTCGCCACACATGTGATGTTTTTACCGCAATCTTCCAACAGAGACCGAATCTGGAATCATCCAACATTATCATGTGATCAATTCAGTCAGCATTTCTGTCTGGCTAGGAGTGAGTGTTGTGAAAGATGTTTCTGTGCATGATCTCAGAGTGGTGGTGGTGGTGGTGGTGGTGGTGGTGGTGGTGGTGGTAGT